ATATTTGAGCTTTTAATGAAGTTTTTGTGGATTTGGAAGTTCGTACTATTTTTGGAAATCATGAAACTTTTGAAGGTTTGTGGAATTTATATAGAGTTGTGAATTTGTTGTGTAGGTAGAGGGAGAACAACACTAAGAAGTTCGAGAGAGATTCAACTTAGCCAGGTCAAAATTTGAGTTTGAATTTTTCATTTTGAACGTTCTGGTTTTATTTTATTTTCATTTTTTTATCATCATCTTTTTTGTTTTGCTTATATATATATATATATATATATATATCTTTCATTGATATTATCTTGTTTTATAAAAATTTAAATTTTAAATGAAGGATTTTGTGAGAATTTACTTTATTTTATCAATTTTTATTATAAAAATTTCTTTATTTCTGGAATCAATTATAGACAATTATGACATTGGTGCTTCTAAAAACAAGACATTCTCTCTGAACGATGCGTAGTACTTCATGAGATATCATCTCTTGACTAGAAGCATATGTAAAAATAACTCATTCTTTAAGGTACTATCAAAACTATGTTCCTTCAAACACACATAAAGATGTGTTATTTCTAAGGATATCGTAGCTCATGAGGTTGCAACTTTTTAGTCTCATTTGTCATAGTTGTTATCTCTTTAACACTAATTTTGTACAAATTGTTTGCATTGTCTTGAAAAAAATACTTTGACGTTCTTGAATTGGAATTGAAGTTAAATTTTTTGGGCATGAAAAATATGACCTCGAGGTCTAATTTTCATTAATTACTAATAACATAGCCCTTTATTTATTTCCCCTATTTCTGGGCCTAAGTAAATTTCAAAACTCTTAGATATGTGATTAAAATATTTTTATTTCTTAAAGATATTTCTAAGCCAATTAATAACCAACAAAAGAAACAAAGATCACTAAACTTTTTTGAGAATATAATATCATAATAATTTTCTGAAGAGAGCTTGTCAAGTTTTATTAATTAGGGGTGAATTCAAACACTAATTTTAATTTTATGCTCACCTCAAACTTCTTCTTAGGAAGACTTTTTCTCTTCTTTTTTTTTAATCAAATCTTCCACATAATGTATTTTTATCTCATCTTTTTTTCACTGAGAATTACTATATATGGTGGAATACATTTTAAGACTTTTGAATGTCTAAACTCACCTAATTAATAATTTTCAAATATTTGTTAATATGAATTCTGAGATATTATTGTTTATTTAAAAGTCAGGACTCGACTATTTGACAGAAAAATTAGAAGGCATGAAATATCCTTAGTCAATTACTTGTATTTTAATCAAACTATTTTTTTCTGAAATTTTTTTAAGATCTAGTCAATTTTTTTTAAAGTGAAGAACTTAGTTATTAAGTTATTAATTTCATTCTCCCCTTGAGCCATAAGCTTATTAAAACTCCAAAATCTTTATCATGAATCACTCATTTCTTGATTGTCTTTCTGATAAGCTTCGAACGTATGAGTTAGTTTCTCTTTTTCCAAATTTTTTTTTCTTCACTTGATGTGTAGTTATTTGTTGAATCTGAGAAACATAATATCCCTCCTTTCGAGCAAGCTTTTCAAATGCTAAACGAACTCTGAACAACAACAAGCTCCTCTTCTTTTCTTTATTTTTATTGTGGTGGGACAACTAACAATAATCCTTTTGATGTCCCCTTGTATCAATGATAACAATAAAAAGATAAGCCTAATATCCTTTAATAGGGAAAAGGTCTTAAAAATTCCAACTTTCTTGTCAGCGATAGTCTCCTTCAGGACTTGATGGCCTCCACAACTTTTCCTTTGTTTTGAACAATCGGATTTCTTCTCCCTCATCCATGTCCCCAGTCTTAACCTCGGATGCGAGTTATTTAAGAGTTTACACCCTCTTGTTGAGTTATAACAAGATGATCTTTATTTTCTATATCTTTTGGTGTTTTCTTTCTTTTTTTTTTTAGTTTTATGTTTGTGTTAAGTATAGACCACCTTGCCTAATTAGTTTTCAAATATATATTTTTTAAATTTAATTAAAGTTTTGTTAGTTTTTTAGTACATTGCTTTTATTTAGGATTTGAACCAAGTTTCAGACAAGCGGGACATCGACGCTGATAAGAATAATGTTTTATTTCTAAAATTTGTTCTTTAAAACATCACGACACATTATTTTTCAAATATCATCCATTAATGGGGAACATGTGCGTTCTCCTTAGCAGTCCACCAATTGGTAAGCATCTCCGAAATAGACTTTCTCAACCACGAACGGTCCCTCCCAAGTCGATTCAAAATTTTCCCCTATTTTGTGGTGTGTGAGAATAAGTCTTTTGAGAATGAGAACCAGTTTTCCAACTTTGAAAGTCCTTGGGTAGACCAGTTTATTGTGAGATTGTACTAGCTTCACTTGGGACATCCTCAAACTCTGTTGTACTGACAGTCGCTTTCCTTAAGAATTTATAATTCTTCCATCTGTAGCTTTGCATTTTCTTCTGTAGTAAATTTGTTAGTCATCGCAACTCTAAGCGAAGGAAGTTTTACTTATAGGAGAAGCACAGGCTCAGACTCATACACTAGAGCATATGACGTCGACTGAGTGGGAGTTTTAAACATTGTCATGTATGCCCATAAAGAGCCCAACAAATGCTCATGCCATCCTTTTTTGTTATCATCCAATGTTTCCTTCAAGATTAGATTGAGGACCTTCTTGAACACCTCAACCAAACCATTTGCCTTAGTAGATCGCAAAGCATCTCTGCCAAATAATTATTATTATTACTCATTACATAAGTAATTATTTCATTTAACAATGTTTTCCTTAAGGTAATTGTCACTTTCAAAGAATTAAGAGAATCGGGGACTAAATATATACATACAAATTTTATAAATCTCAAAGAGATTGAAAGGATTGCGCAAAGAAGGCTGCAAAGGATCGAGCATCTAGCGACATTTCAGTCTGTTGGATCATGGGCCAACTAAATTAACATTCATATGAACCAAAAAAAAAAACGACAAGCACCTAGACTACTGTCAACTTAACCGACACAAGGGCATTCACAATGTCAACGATTGCTTAGCGGAACTCTCACCTGATCATCTTCGAAAAGTTATCACTCAAAGAAAGGTTGTCTATCATATAAAAGTGACACACCCTTTTATCTGATAGAATAACCCTTCTTAAGAACAACGAATCTTCATGGCAGATCCCCTTGAAAAGGTCGACCAATGATCTATCAGTCGACCAAACGATTATTGTCGATCGAAGGAAAGCCAAACAACCACCATTGAGCTGTTATGAATATGAAATGGTGTCAGGGGTGTCACAGATATGGAATGACACCAAGACCAGTTATAGGGTTAAAAGATACAACGTTGGTTACAAATGTAGAAATGTGTAATGACTCATAAATGTATTGTAACATTCTCACTAAGTGAAGGAAAAACACGAAATTTAGTAGACGCTTTCTGTGATATATAAATAGAAGGGTCTTTTCCACAGGAAAGATTACTAAATTTATTCTTTGAGAGTTACCATTATTTGTGACTTACTTTTTTTTCTCTCCTACTTTTTTTTTTATTTATCTCATCCGAGCAACGCTTTATTCTTTGGGAGTGATTTGAAAGACATCTTTTGGATTCAATAATATATATACCCCGTAAATTGGTGGATTTAGTAAATCTGAAAGAGCAAAGAGGAAAAAGGGCACGTACAAGCTTACCTTCCTCAATAATTTCTTGTAGGAGCAGAGCAAAAGGATGAGAAAGATGGGAGTCCCAATGGTCTTTGTAAGTCACGATCTCATCATTGCCTTCTCAATTAGCTCTAATGACAACTTTATCGCAAACTTGTTCACGAAGGAAATGGTTTTGACCGAAACCGAAAGGGGAAGGGATATAAGTGAGGATTTAAGCTAAAGTGTAAACTGAATTGGGTCGAGCTCGAGTAATCCTCAGCTTGAGCTTGATTAATTTTATCGAACTCGAGCTTAAATCTACGAGTTCGAACCGACTCGCGAACCATCTTGTTTAATATAAAAGAGAAAAAATAATAATAGTTTAAGCCAATTTTTTAATAAAATCTCAAATAAAATGAACAATTAAGAGATAAATTATAAAAAAATCACGTAATATATAACATTTTAATATTTCTAATATCTTAAAGATCTATTCTTGAATTTAATAAATTTTAAATATATTTAATACTAATTTTTTTAAACAAGTAGGCTTACAAGCTAGCAGGAGTTAAAGCTAGCTTTAGCTTGGCTTGTTAACTCATCGAGCTCAATTTGTGAGCCACATATCGAGCCGAGCTCGAACTGGCTCACGAGTCAGCTTGACTCACTTACACCATTAGTTTAAGTAGAGATGGGAAGTTTGGTCAAAGCCTAAAGAGGGTTAGGATGTAGGCAATGGTTTTAAGCAGAGAGGGGAAGACAAGTATATTTTATAATTTTATTTTTTTTTAAGTCAATTTTATTAATTTAATTGATATGTAATCACTAGCTAATTTATAATATTAAATTAACTATATATGAATAAATTAGAATGTAAATATTTAATAGTTAATTAATGAATAATAGTACTTTAATTTTCAATTATGTAATAAAATTTTAATTAATTCTAACTTTACATAATTAATTAATAAATGATTATGGTTAAATTAAATTTAAATACTTCAAAGAATTATCAATTAATAATTTATAAAATTAGTTATTAATTAATGCAAATAATTTTTTTATACGCTGCTACTCATAATTTTTCCAATTTAATATTTATTCCTTGATATTCACTTAATTAACCCTGTTAAATTCTTCTAAATAATTTCTCAAAATTTACAAACATACCAACTAATTTTCAAGATTTAGCAACTTTAACTCTGGATTTGCAGGCCTCACTGAATTTTATTTAAATTAAATCCTACTCGCAACCTAACAACCTCTACATGCACATCTTTGTATGAATTCCTTGTCCATTTAACATACCATGATTAGACTGCACGTCAATAACAATTTTGCACTACAATAACTTCTAAAAATATAGGGAATCTATTGCAGACCAATTCAAAGCCTTCTATTTACAAATTCAGAGCCTTCTATTTAGACCTATTAAATATCAAGCATATCTTTTCTATCCAGTAGGACAAAAATGACACCTAGAAACAACCTCAATTCAGTTATAATGAACAGAAAAAGAAAAACAAGCAATCAAGATGCAAACTAGATTTAATGTGCCATTGAAGCTATCTTTCTTATTTATTTTAATGATTAGCGAATGTTCATCACTGTGTGCTGCCTTCTCCTTGCCTCAAGCTCAGAAGAAAGACGAACGCACCTCCGTTTGGCTCTTTCGAGCTCGCGTTCCAGCTCGTTAACCTTAAAAAACAGCTGAATTTTAGAATCACACGACCTGGCAAAATAATAATACAGAATTTACAAACAAAGGCTACGAAATACCGTTTGCTTCAGCTCAGCCTGCCTAAGCCGGAGCTGCTCGCACCTGCAAGAATGAGATTAAAGGTCCGTTTGAGATGGCTACAATTTTTTCTATGAAGAGTTTTGTGAAAAAGCATTGTTGTGAGCATTCAAAAACTATTTGTTTTTTTCGAAAGTACCATATAACAATTCGTCTCTGACACACACACAAATTTGCATTACTGAATTCTACTTGAACTCAAGTGATTCTGCATAGTGAATGCTTTGGGATATTTGCACAAAGCTGATCTCACAGTCCAACCTTTACAACAGTAATGAAGTTGACTTTATTTATTACCTTTCTTTACAAGTAGCAACAATTTTACAAGTAATTAGCATAGGATTTATTAATTAGTGCAAGTAAATTTAGAAGATTGGGTGAGTTGGCATGACTAAAATCAAAGCTTTAGTGTCATGGGTACAACGGTTGTGATAAGACCGGTCAACGAACCCGAAGACAAAGAGGTCCAAGGTTTAATAGTTGAACTAGGATTTAACAGGATGATGTATTACATATATAATTTTTTTAATATGATTTAAATTATGCAATAAAATAAATATATAAGAAAGATAATTAAAATTCATACACATTAATATTATCAATATTTATAAATTTAAACTTGTTAAATAATTCTTTAAAATATAATTAATATCTATCATTTTTTTTATAAATCATTACTTAATGAGTATATAAAATAAGTTCATTTTTTTAAACTTATTTTTAAAATTTTTATTTATTATAAAAACAATTAGATAATTTAGTTTATAAATTACATTATCATATAAATTTCTTATTA